ACACGACACCCATACACGCACACTCACACACTTTGCTATGTATCACAGAGAAGTAGAAATATACGTTATTCAGTAATCGTCACTCAGTGGAGATAGTTTATCCCTTTATTTGCTCCGTTATAACCATTGCCCTGCAACAAAGTAAGGGGTACGGTAGCCCAAAAATGTGATAATTTTATGGATTCTGTTCCCGTCATACGTAAGGACCAAATCGAAACAGCGAACGTCGCGTAAAAGTAGAATTTAATTAAGGCATAAGCGTTTTTTCGTAGCTTTTTATCTCCAGGCTTAACAGATCATCGGTCGTAGATGCTTATTCTTATGTAAAGGGCACCGCCGTCGAGTTTGAGTTTGAGTAAATCCCAGGTCCTATCATAGTAAGGAGACTTATAGTAACATCGCTTGATTATCGTGTGTTTTGTGGAACTTAATATCGTTATCAACGTCAACGTCACCGTCGGAGCCGGTTTTGAATGGTTGCAATAACAACGCGATCGTAGCTTGTATTATGCGATATGAGGGGCTTGGTGGCATTAGAGCGACCATTTTTGCTTACTGAGTAAAACATCATGAGTTTAATCTCAAGCCTCTCCACATTCAAGATTCGTTGATCGCTTTATTTGTTAATGTGAATACATTGGAATAGCAACAAATCGATCAATGGTGTGTTGTAATGAAAGGTGCTCGTTTACCTAGTGGCAAACGGTTTTGCTTACTGAGCAGAAGATTGTGGGTTCAATCAGACCCCCTTCGCTCTTTGGATTTTTTAGAGACAGATAACAGCGCCAAACGGTTTGTGACGAGACAACGTTGAACTGCAGCGTTGGAAGAAAACACGCACACCAACATCTATACATGTACGAACCCACACAACTGAGCGGACGGTACAGCGCAAATCAAAACACGAAGCGGTGTCATCACTCATCGTCTTCATTCAGCTTCGGCTACTTCCGTATGCGTTTGCTTTCACCGGCGTTGACAAATACTTCCTATGTTATAAAATAGGAAAGTAATGATTATTCCAATGTAATTTTTGAATAGAATGCGTGCTGCGTTGGCCAAGACCAAGACGGCATATTTTATTACGTTTAGCAATGATTTCGATACGTTGCATTTCCAGTGACTGGGGTGTTGGAATAATTCTTTAGAGAGAGTGAATGCTTCTCCCATGTTTGCTTATTAAGATTCTTTTGAGCACCAGCTCCGCAAATCATCAGTTACTATTAGAGATTTGCATCCTACTGATACCGGTGGTATATTTAAAACTCTTTCGCTCGAAAGCAAAACATATTACAAGCACATAATGATGCGCGCTTGGATGTGTGATTGTTTTCTCAAGTGTTTCTGTTGCGTATAAAGTGGTAATGATTGAAAATCGGAACAATCACAAACAAGTAAGAATTTTGCTATCGCAATATAATGATGATGACTTCGAGGATGATATCGTCCTTTTTCCTCGGCTGATCATCAACGTCCGCATTGACATCTATCATGCTGACACCAGTCAGTTATTGAGCCCAGGTGGTGAAGTTGGCGGGGAACTCCCAACAGTTTCAATGTGCACTCAACAGATGGCACTGCGATCATATACGGGTGGTAATTATAACCCTTGTATGAGGAATTGATTAGTGGGATATCTTGTTAATTAGATATCTTTGCTTGTATGAGGAATTGATTAGTGGGATATCCTGTTAATTAGATATCTTTGGTTCAATCCCAAGCTCCTTACGTTATAGGATCGTTAGGATATCAATTCAGCTTATCGTTTTCCAAATCCTGCTGCAAACCCAACCCTTTTATCCAACATCCCAGTGATTTCTCTTTGAAGTGCAGAGTATTTCTCGGCTTTCAACAAAGCGGGCACAGACAAACAGACATAACACATTGAATATTATCGTCGCTAAAACATTACCGCCATCTGTTGAGTACACTGTGGTGGGCAGACGCTGAACAGATCGCGGTAGTGTGTAAACGTCAAATGAAAGGGAATTGACTATGCGCGCCACAGGTGGCGGTACAGCCAACTAAGATACTTTTGAATTGACCGTTAAATGCTTGTTCGATGAACAACTTGCGAGTGCTATGTCTGTTTGTCTGTGTAGCGGGTATCACGCCAATACATTCCTACCCTTTCCTTTCTTGACCTGTGCTCACTTTTGTAAAAATTGGCAATTGCAATAGGTATATAAATTTGTATACAACACCCCCTTATTCTGCGAGTCATGTGACTCTCTGTCACCGGTGAGGTAACTGTTCGTGCAAATCAAATGGAGAATCACCTAACACGAGGTGACTATTGTCACCTCATCGCTGAGAGAGAGAGGGCCTTATTACGGGTGTCACTACACGGTGATAAGGAAGTGATACTCAGAATAAGACCCGTGATTGCCGTACAAATCAAATGGGAATCACTTCACCGTGACAAGTTTTCACCGTGAAGTGACATCCGTAATAAGCCCCAGAGTCACGTGACTCGCCGAATAATATGGATACTTGCACGTTAAAAACCGTAAACTTTCATTAATTATTATTACTTTTGCTGAAACATGCCTTATTGGTGAAAACAAGGTCTTTTTTAATTGCATGATCGACGAACATGTCAGGTGAGCGGAAATTGGTACTCTCTTGGTACGAAACCTTAAAATTGAAATACGTCCCAGAACTTTGAAGAAATGATTCATGTCGTTGATCTTTAAAAAATGTCCCTTGTTCAAGAACTATTCCTTCGATTTCAATAGTTCAAGTCTAACTCCCTTATTCTGCGCCACGACTGAGATGAGGTGACTCGCTGTCACTAGTGAGGTGACTCTCCGTTTGATTTGCACGGAGAGTCACCTCACTAGTGACAGCGAGTCACATCACCTCACTCGCGGTGCATAATAAGGGGGTAAATCTTCTAAAAAAATTGTCTCCCTTTTCTTCATGATTGGTGATATCATTATAGTTTTTAATACAGTTATGAATAAGGATTTAGAAATAATTCCCTTGATTTAATGAAAATTCCCGGAGATTCTTGAACTTCAGCATAAAATACATTTCTCGATGAACATTTCAAATGGTCCTATCTGCTTTGATCGATTCTCTTCATCGACTTTCTCTTTTCATAACCACTGCTATGCAAACAGATTTCGCGCTAATTCTACCACATAGTTTGATAAAGGAGGTTCTTATCTAGCGTCCAAAACGTCAAATACAACAGGGAAAGGTTTTGCAACTGAGTTATTAACGAAAGAGAAAGTCGATGAAGAGAATCGATCAAAGCAGATAGGACCATTTGAAATGTTCATCGAGATTTATGCTTTCCCCCTGCACGCCCAACTATGTCCCCAAATAATGTCAATTTCTTTCCACAAGCAAAAATCAAGGTCAAGTAAAACAAAAGAGAATTTGGCGAGAATCAGCGAGGAGGAGAAAAATTCAGCAGAGCTCAAGGGAACGAATAGTCTTTTGTAATATATAAGTGTATTTTGTTTTATTTTATCTATAGTTATAAATCACATTAGAATGCAGTTTCTTTTTCTCATTTCTTGTTTCATGCTTTTGTTTATTTTTTTTTCCTCTGATTTCAAGTGTGTTTTTGCTTGCTATCCTCATATCAATTGAACAATGTATTTTAACCACTTTCATCATTTATTTAGACTACACGGTCCTGCGCTTACGGGCTTGAGATATACTGTGTTAAATGGTTTGCTATTTGCTTCGCTCTCAATTCAAGTTCTGTAAAGATATTAGATGTAGGTACGTTGCTTATGGTTGTTGTTTGTTGTCCGAATATGGAAGGAGCATTTTCTTTCCGGTAAAAAAAGAACAGCACTGCTCTCGCTATTGGTATTGTTCAAAAAACGTGTTCTAATATTTTCGATAGATGTTTTTTTTTTTTCATTTCTATTTTCTTATTTTCATTTGCATTGCGTTTGGTGGTGGTGTGGTGTGTGAATATTTATAAAATGAATGCCTTAGTCCATACACGCTGAGTTTGTCTTGTTCTACAATGACATTTTTTCTTTCTCCTACTAGTTACAATGAAGATGACTTTACTCTAGAGTCTGACGGATGAAAAAACTGCTTACTTTTCGTGATTTTTTGCATTTTTTGTCTTGTCATAATATTGAATCCTGCTAGAGTAACCCTAAGCGAAACTAGATGCCACACGTTACACGCTAAAAAGTTTCTGTCGATTTACAACGCGAGGGAAAATTCTGCCTGTTCTGTCTGTATCTGGTTACTAATTTATTCTGCTTTGTTCGGTGAATTAAGAATACTTTACATGCCTCGATGTGCTTAATCTTGCTATTGCTGGAAACGAAGACTCACGTTGCTAGCCAGTTTGTTCTATTAAATAATTTTGTAACATTCAACTTTTCCATTAAGCTTTCTAAACAAATGTCTCGTTCATTTTTACATAACAATGAATTTTCTCCGAGGGATTCGCAGAGCAAAGTATACGCAACAACTAAGTCAAATGGAAAAAAAAAACTAACGAATCCTTCAGATCGATCTCAATGGATGGCAGTACACAAATAAGCGATGCGATAAAAAATGAGTTATTTCCATAGCTAAACGGAACAAACAAAAAAAAAACGCAAAATCTCTACCATGCAGCTTGCGCAACTCACTATCACGATTTATAGTATGCGTGTGGGTGTGTTTGTTTTGTTAGATTTTTAGTTTTGGGCGATGTTCTGAGCAATTTCGATTTATACCAATCAACAGCTGAAAGTGGTTAATATTCCATTTCGTACTTTCTTCTACGGGGGGACACCTTTCTCTTCTCTGCAGTCTGTCTCGCGGAAGTTCGAAGACGAAGAATCGCTCGACGACCTCTCACTCTCGCTAAAGGGATTCTCTGATACAGAAAACCGAAAGTACCATGCATTGTTCTACTAGACTTAATAGACGCGACCGGCACAACAGGACACGATCTTGGTGGTTCACTTTTTCACAGTACTTTTCGATTTTGTTTAACTTGACCCTTGTTGTTTTGTTGGTTTCAAATATGCTTTCAGTATATTTTCCGATTTTTATTGATCAGTTTTCCATTTTTTTTTTAAATAATATTTTTTTAAAAAGAAGTTCCACAATCATCGTAGATCAATTCAGGTCCCTGTCTTCTAAGTACTTGTATTCAAAAGTGAATCCTTCCTTCTTTCGCTGACCCCACTTTTCGTAGTCGAAGTAGATGTAGGTTCCCTGTTTGGAACGAAAAAAAAACCCCGCATTAGAATGGATTTGAACTTTATGCTTATGGAGAAACTACGTACCTGCTCGAACTCTTCGTTGATGATCTTCGGCTCTTCATGGCGTTGGAACCACATCATGTACTTGGTATGGAATCGCCAGCTTTGCTTTTTGAGAGCCTTCGCTGCCAGGTATTGCGCCTTGGTGCCCTCCATGTAGTAAAACACAAAGAACAGCGTTTCGGGCGAGAGGCGTTGGAAAAACTCTACCGTGTCAGAATGTGGAAGTTGTTGCTGGAAAAGAAAGGGACGTGTGTTAACGATTTGTGAATGTGTGGGACTCATGATTCCCGCTTTCCATTTGATTTCTTAGCGTTGATATGGAGAAAACCGAGCATATTACTGAAGAATCGGCAAATTTACTTCTGGAATCAAGCGATTGAGCAGTAGACTGATGGATCGATGGACCCAAGGCGGATAATCAACGGTGCCACATAAGGAAGAAGTGTTAGTTTGTTTACTAAAATGAACTAAGGCGATTGTATATGGCATGTTTAGCTACACTCAAAAAATTCCACACGTCATCATCATGTGTCTCACACTTAATTTTGCGCTTATGCTATGAACCATGCTTGAACACTATGGATTTGAATTGTGACACACTTGGATTCTACACGCAGAAAAAACACTCAAGCGTTAATCAACAAAATATTTTGTTATATTATAATACGTTATTTCTGTTTGATTCAATTCATAAAAAATGTTTTAAATAAATGCAGCATTCCATTTAAATCAAACTAATAAAATTGTTTGAACCGCATGTCCGTGTTGGCATGCATTTCATGAAGATCTTCACCACATCTTTTCAACTATGTAAATATTTTTAAATATTATATATATTTTATAAATATTTCTTTAAAAAGAAGATCCGAGAGTTTGTTTTGGCAATTCCAAGCACACCGAAAACTACTAGGCCGCAATAAATGGCAAATGTGTCTCGACCAGGAGAATCTGGTAGGTGGAAGGTGAAACTTTCAAAATAAGCATTTACGAATCTTCTATTATTTCACAATTTCAGATGCGGATATGCTCAGTGGACACAAACCATAACAACAAGCCGAGTTGTAGCAATCCAGATGCTGACGCCACGTCCTCCTATTCAGCAAGAGAACCTTCAAAAGTAATGTACCACCATCGTAACTTAGGACAAGCCCAACTTCCATCAAGCAATCGGAGCTGAAACAAACAACGGCTACCGATGCCGATTAAAATTCCCCACTCTTGAATATGTGTCCATCCAGATGAATTTTCCCCTACCAGGTAGTGGCCCTCACTATTCCTCCAAAATATGGCTCCACCAAATTTCCACGAAAAATCATCCAATTTCCAACCCCAACGTCTGGCTCAGAAGATTTAAGAGGAACATCATCGTCACCATCAGCCACCATCGCTGCACTTACAGCAGATGGACTGGAAGAGAGTGTCACAAATAGTCAACATTAACACCAACAACATCAGAATCAACACCAGAATAGCTCTGGCTCTGGCAAATATGACGAGTATGCCAACTTAATTAATTGAACGTGACAAACAGTGACTGCTCAATTGTCTCAATCGAACAAAGACTTCTGGTACTTCAATGATTACTACTTTTACATGTTATTTGCAATATTTCTACAATAAAACAACCTGGGCATTGAAAAAAATAGATTCTTAAATAATTAAAATGAGGTTTCAAGACAACAAAAAACGTACATTGCTTCAAAAAATGCTTCAATTTGATCCAAGCAAACATTTTGTTTGAATCAATAATAACCGATGATCAATTCAATAAAGTTAGCATAATTATTTCAACTCAATGTTTTTGTTGAATTACTGTATCAATTTTATTGATCCATATTCTATTCTAAATTTTGTTTAAAGTGAAACAAATTTTATTTGATTCACCTATGTTTTTTTCTGCGTGTATGTGCCTCATATGGTGATATCAAAAATGAATCGACAAATATATAAACAAAACTTCCAGAGGCCAGAGCTTTCACATATCTTTTAAATGGTGGGGTGTGCTGTTGCCGGAGTCTTCGTTCGATCTCACTGTGCCACGGTTGTTCTCATATATGAGGCGGGTTGATAGGGTTAAAGTCAACACTCTTGTTTTCGATGTTTACCTTTCTGAACAAGCAATTCACATCGCATTGAAATGAAAAACACTTTCAATCCATCTGTTTTGAACAGTAGTGTGATTCAATGTGCAATACACTTCAATAGAAAGTGAAAGATTTTCAACATTTCAAAGTTTGAAACACTAGGAATCAACGTGTATAACACATTGAACCAAGGTGAAATACACTTAGTAAATGTGATTGTGCATTAAAAAAAATCAAGTGCTTAAACACATCGATCAAACGTGTGGAATTTTTTGAGTGTATAATCAATACTCCTCGTGTTTATTTGCGAAATTCACATCACCATGCCATGTATTTTGATGACACTCAATTTGTGATTTCCCTCTCACAGACTACAAGCTAGATTACCAGAGTACTACCGTAACTGGACCGTTATAGTACCGCAATTCTGTCACAAATCAATGGCCTGTTGAATGAAAACAACCGCACCCTGGATCTCTGCTTTGTGAGTGCTCGTGATACAGCTACTTTCCTCTCCACGGCACCCGAACCTTTAGTCAAGGAAGTGCATCATCACCCTGCTTTAGTTATCGTGATCGAAAATAATATTGTCCTTGATTTCACCAGCACTCCAAACGCTGTGTCATATGAATTCCGTAGAGCTGACCATCGCAGTATTGTCCATGTGCTGTCTAACCTAGATTGGAAGCATATTCTAGATCCTGTAGACGTCAACATTGCTGCACAAACCTTTTCTCACGTATTGGCATATGTCATTGACAGACACGTTTCCAAAAAGATCATCCATATCGACTCTCGCGTCCCGTGGATTACGAAAGATCTTCGCTTGTTGAAAAGAACTAAGAAGGCTGCTCTCAGAAGATTTACTAAGCTCCGCACACTGCCGCTGAAATGCTGCTATGTCAGACTCAACCACGAGTATAAGCGGTTAAGTCGTTTCTGTTTCTGAGCAACGCAGGGAAGTCGGCTTACCCTCTTCCATGATTTTTAATGGTGAAACTGCTGGCAATCAACAAGACATTTGCAACCTGTTCTCAGCCAAATTTGCTAGTATGTTTAAAGACGAGCAACTCTCCGCTAATCTCATTACTTTCGCGGCCAGTAATGTTCCTTTGGTCAACCAAACGTTCAGCATGATCGAAGCCACTACAGATACGATTTATAGAGCAGCATCTTAACTTAAGACTTCAACTAAGGCTGGACCCGATCACTTCTCTTTTAGATCCCCTGCACCGCATATTCCAGCTCTCTCATTTGAAGAGGCATTTTCCCGTCTTGCTGGAAGTCTGCGGATATGTTTCCTGTTCATAAAAAGGGAAGCAAACGCGACGTAAACAACTACCGGAGAATCACGTCACTGAGTACTGTATCAAAAAATTTTGAATTGGTTGTCATAAAGTCCCTAAATGCGCATTGCAAGCAATATCTAAGTATAGATCAACACGGATTCATAACTGGCCGTTCCACAACTACGAACCTGCTGTGCCTAAAGTCTTACATCACAGACAGTTTGATCGCTCTGACCCAAACGAACGTTATCTACACAGATCTTACGGCAGGTTTCGATAAGCTGAACCACGAAATTGCGATCGCTAAGCTTGATAGGCTAGGGATCGGTGGAAATCTTTTGAGATGGTTTCGTTCATACCTCACGGAGCGCCTATTGACAGTAACTTTGGGTACTTGTCGCTCAGCAAGCTTCTGCGCAAAGTCCGGTATACCTCAGGGTAGCCATCTGGGACCATTGGTATTTCTCCTTTACTTCAATGACGTTCACCATGTTATCACAGGGCCACGATTATCGTGTGCAGACGATCTGAAAGTTTTTCTGCGCATTCGCTCACTCGTCGACTGCCGTTCTCTCCAAAATCAGATTGACATCTTTGTTGACTGCTGTAGTCTAAACCGACTGGTGGTCAACCCAGCTAAGTGTAGTCATTACTTTCTCACGCAAGAAACAACCGATTATTTTCAACTACAAACTACTAGGCACGACTATCGAACGGGTGCATTGCGTGAAAGACTTAGGCGTTCTTCTAGACTCAAAGCTGACATACTCACACCATATATCGTATGCCGTCGACAAAGCGTCCAGAACTCTTGGCTTTGTCTCCAAGATTACTAAGAACTTCACAGCCATTTACTGTTTGAAATCGCTCTATTGCTTTCTCGTACGATCTACGTTGGAATACTGCTCTGCAATCTGGTGCCCGAACTACAATAATGGGGCCGAGCGGATTGAATCTGTGCAACGACGTTTTCTTCGCTTCGCGCTCCGTAAGCTGCCTTGGAGATACCCACTTCGTCTTTCAAGCTACGAGAATCGCTGCCAATTAATCATTTTGTTCGACCATTTTCCACAGAGATGGCGCTGTTCCGCTGGGAATAATTCGCTTTCGGTGCATATACAGGTCAAAAAAAGTGAACGACAACCTAAAAAAATTAATTAGGGACTTTGTCGTTCAGTTTTGTCCCGGAAATTATTGTTAAACAAGCTACAGTTAAATAAAAATGATTTTTCCCCATACAGTTTTACCTGCTTTACTACCAGTTCCCAGAGAGCCAAAAAATCAAATTCGAGAGAGAAAATTTGCTCTCACGAGCTCAATCTCTCAACATGCCATGTATTTTGTTGACACTCGATTTGTGATTTCCCTTTCACAGATTACAAAATAGAGTACCTGACACTACAACCCACTCACTATGGCGAGTATCCAATGAGACTTGGTCAGTTAATGCCTGATGTATCTGTGATTTCCAGGGAGAGCAGTCGTTCGATTCCTTGCCGCAAGCAGGACGTCGTGATCTTCTACCAAAAACGCCGGTGGAATGAATTCTGATGTTGAAAAGTACCGCCTAGCTGTTTCGGATCGTTGCTACGATATTATTGTCCTGTGCGAAAAAAACGTGGCTCGATTATCGAACGCTTTCCAGTCAAGTCTTCGGTCCTGACTACGAGGTCTTTCGTTGCTATCGGAATCCTAACAACAGCCGTAAATCTACTGGTGGAGGTGTCCTTGTAGCTGTCCGTAGCGGGTTGGAGGCAAAGGCCATCGGGAACGATTCATGGAACTATGTGGAGCGGGTTTGGACAGCCATCAATCTGGGTGATCGCACACTATTTCTATGCGCTCTGTACATTCCACCTGATCGAGTCCGCGACAATGAACTCACTGTCGGTTAGTTTTCACAGTTGTCGAAAGTGCCACTCCAGTTGATGAGATATTCATTTTTGGTGACTTCAATCTGCCAGGCGTTTCGTGGAGTCCATCTCATAGCGGATTCCTGTACCCAGATCCTGATAGCTCTACATTTCACGCAGGAGCTATTAGCCTTCTCGACAACTACAGCGCAGCGACGCTTTCTCAAATTTACATGGTTAACGAAAATGGTCGTAGTTTGGACCTCTGCTTCGTGAGCACACACTAACTAAGCTAGTTCCACATCACCCTCCTCTAATTGTCACTGTTGAGGACAAACTCGTGCGTGATTTCGACGACTATCCTGCTACGGTTTTTTAAGACTTCCGTAAAGCTGACCACCGTAGCATTATAGATGTATTGTCTAGCATGGTATGGGAGAACATCCTTGATCCAGATGACGTTGAGGCTGCAGCGCAAACCTTTTCACATGTCTTGGCATATGTCATTGACAGACACGTCCCGAAAAGAACTCACCACAAAGTGTCTCACCCTCCCTGGCAGACGAGAGAGCTACGTAGGTTGAAGTCAATCAAGAGAGCAGTATTGAGAAGATTTACGAAGTATCGCACACTTCCTCTGAAACTACATTATGTGAGGCTGAATCACATGTACCAGCGAGTCAGCCGTGAATGCTTTTCATGTTTCCAGCGCATCCAGCGCGAGCAACGCAGGGAATCTGGCCTCCCATCGTCTATGGAATTCAACGGAGAAGTTGCTGCCACTGTTCAGGATATATGCCACCTTTTTTCCGAAAAGTTTGCCAGTGTATTCACTAATGAGATACTAACTGACGACCATATTAACCTGGCTGCCAGGAACGTTCCAGTAAACGATCAAACGCTGGGTGCAATTGATGTTAATGCAGAAATGATTTCTAAGGCCGCGACTCTGCTCAAGTCATCCTTCAATCCTGGACCTGATGGAGTTCCATCTGTATTTTTGAAGAGACATATTGCTAGCTTGTTAATTCTGCTTCCTCGCCTGTTCCGAATGTCTCTCTCAGGTGGCATATTTCCATCTTGCTGGAAATTTGCGCACATGTTTCCCGTCCACAAAAAGGAAGGAAACGAGCTGTGGATAACTATCGAGGAATTACATCCTTAAGTGCCGTTTCGAAGCTATTTGAGCTAGTGATTATGGAACCGTTGCTGTCCCATTGCAAGCAGTATTTGAGTGCTGATCAACATGGGTTTACTGTCGGCCGCTCTACAACCACCAATCTGCTGTGTCTCACATCGTATATAACCGAAAGCATGTCGGATCGGGTTCAAACGGACGTTATTTATTCAGACCTATCCGCAGCATTCGACAAGTTGAACCATGCTATTGCGATTGCTAAACTCGGCAGGCTCGGTGTATGCGGTAATCTTCTGAGTTGGTTTCGATCATATCTTACCGGTCGGCAACTAAAGGTTGCCATAGGAGATTGCAGATCAGCTAGCTTCTTCGCCACATCAGGTATACCTCAGGGAAGCCACATGGGACCGTTAATTTTTATACTGTACTTCAACGACGTGCATCTGGTCATCGAAGCTCCTCGGTTATCATATGCAGATGACCTCAAAATCTTCCTACGAATCTGCTCCATTGCTGACTGTCACTTTCTTCAACGTCAACTCTGAATGTATTCGCTAGTTGGTGCAGGTTAAACAGAATGGTAGTGAACCCAGCCAAATGCTCCGCTATTACGTTCTCACGAAAACAACAACTGATAATATTTGGCTATGACCTGCTTGGCTCGACATTCGAACGCGTGAATCAGGTGAAAGACTTGGGTGTGATCTTGGATTCGCAGCTTTCATTCAAGCAACACATTGCATATGTTGTTGATAAGGCGTCAAGAACTTTAGGGTTCATTTTTAGGATAGCTAAAAACGTCACTGATATCTACTGTCTAAAATCTCTCTATTGTTCGCTTGTTCGATCGACGCTTGAGTATTGTTCAGCGGTTTGGAACCCAAACTACAACAACGGTGCCGAGAGAATTAAATCTGTTCAACGTCGCTTTCTTCGTTTTGCGTTGCGTAGATTGCCTTGGAATGATCCGTTTCGATTACCCAGTTACGAAACCGTTGTCAACTCATCGACCTAGAACTTCTCCGGACTAGAAGAGACACAAGCAGAGCCCTAACCGTGGCCGATATCCTGCAAGGAAGGACAGATTGCGAGGCTATCCTGAGGCAAATTGACCTGAATGTTCAACCCCGACCGCTTCGTAATAACCTTATGCTAAAACTGCCTCTACGTCGCATAAATTATGGAGCGTACGGTGCGATTTGCGGACTGCAGAGAACTTTCAACAGAGTTGCATCTGTTTTCGACTTTCATCTCTCCCGTGATGCGCTTCGTCGAAAGTTTTCTTCTGTTTTTCGCCGGCAGGAGTAACTGACTATAAGATATATGTTTTTTAATGTTTTTTTTTTTATGTTATGACCATGCTTGAATTTTTTTTTTTTTTACCATTGTTGGTAAGGTTAACATCAATGAAGCTTCATCCAGAATCTCTGACGCAGCGCCTCGCGTGCCAAGTGAAAATCAAATAAGGAAGCAACACGATTAAAAACCCTTTGTAGCACGATACGAACTATAGTTTGTGCGACGAAAAGGTATCCTCAGCATTGCGTTGTTACGGAGTGCTCGTGGTTGAGCGTTAACGTCAATTTGTTGTAGAATAGAAGGACAATCTATTCTGCACTGTAGAATGTCTGCCACAAACAGGGCCCTTGTCGTATCTCTTCGACTCCACAAAGGATCCAGGATTCGGAGATAGATTTTAATGTCGTCTGCGAACGACAGTCGTGGACCGTCGAGGACGAAATAGGCGTCGTTGAAATACACAAGAAATATCCACGGGCCGCCACCTCGACCTTGCGTGGAGTGGCAGGGAACGAACGAGGAGATGGGCAGTCGTCGATTGCAACTTCCAACTGACGATCAGATAAATAGGATGCGAACCATCGTAGGAGACTGCCGTTTATACCGAGCCTATCCAGTTTGGCGATCGCTATAGGATGGTTCAACTTGTCGAAGGCGGCTGATAGGTCAGTGTAGATGACATCTGTTTGCATATGGTCTGTCATACTCTCCTTAATGTACGAGGAGAGACACAGAAGGTTGGAAGTAGTCGACTGGTCTTCGCTCAAGTGGTGCTTGAAGTGAGAGACTAACTCGAACAGTTTAGCTATGGCACACAACGATGTGATGCCGCGAAAGTTGTCGATGTTTCTTTTGCATCCCTTCTTATGCACTGGAAACATCTCAGCTGATTTCTAGCAGGAAGGAAACACCCCTACTGGAGAGGGACATTTCGAACAGAAGGCAGTGAGGAGCCACCAGGCTATCGATGTGTTGCTTGAGAAAGACGGAAGGAACTCCGTCAGGTCCAGGCCTAAATGAAGACATCAGTTGCGAAGCCGCCCTAGTTATCATAGCGAGGTCGATGTTGATAGCTGCCAAAGATTTACCAGCCATTGGAACATTACTGGCTGCTAGAGAAACGTGCTCGTCAGGTAGGTTCTCATCCAAGAATACACTCGCAAACTTGGTTGAGAACAGACCGCAAATGTCCTGAGGGGATGAAGTTTCTTCGCCGTTCAAGTACCATAGTCGATGAAAGGCCAGACTCCTTTTGTTGCTCATTGACACAATTCCAAAAAGTTTTCTGGTGAGATCGAGAGCATTAGGTCCTAAGTAACATCCTAAGCAATGATCGATTCTCTTCGTCGACTTTCTTTTTCGTTAATAACTTGAGCGCATTACCGTTTCTTGTTGTGTGTGCTGAAAATACCTGGGAATGTTTTTACATGGTCGTGGGGATACAAAGAGAAAGTCGACGAAGAGAATCTGTCAATGTTACTTAGGACCTAATGCAAAGTTCAGCTTGAATTGTCTTTCGTGTGAAACAACAGATCAACCATATTGTATCATAGTATGGCCAGTAAGGTTTAGTTCGCATCACGGGATCCCGAGATGTAGGGAACTCTCCTATCAAAGTTTCAAGCTGTATTGATCATGCTTCTATTTGCGAGAAATTGACGGCTAAAGCCATTGTTTATAAAAACAACAATTACGCCCCTTTGAAATGTTGGCACAGAATTTATTAAAAAAAGACAAAGGCGCCATTTTGAAGGAAAAAAAAAATACAAGATCCGAGCTGTAAGATCTAATTACCTGTGGATAATGCGGGGGTGTCTGCACAGGCTGCCGTTGCAAATACGTTCTTAGCCTTTCGGAATCACTTGGCGTTGGCAAGTGGTAGTAAGCGGCTTCCATCATTTGGAACTGAAACGGAAAAAAGGTCGTTACATTTAACACCGGCACAAATGTTACTCTGCTTCGTTAATCTATATTACTTGTATTTGATGTTCTTTCTGCAGCGGCGATGGCCCAAGCGGTGCCACGCCTAATAGCGGCGGTATGTGTGCTTCGTTCGTTCCGCTCACTTTCATACTGGCGCTTGTCACGTTAGGATTCGCCGTATTTGCAACTATACTAGAGCTAGTGTTTATGATAGTATTCGGCCCGTTGCTGATGGCAGTAGATGACGACGTAGGTATCAGAGAGTTTGCACTGTTCGCCGGATCGACCAGGGTGAATGCCGGCTGCTGCTGCTGCTGCTGTTGTTGTTGTTGCTGCTGCTGCTGCTGTTGCTGCTGCTGCTGTTGTTGCTGCTGCTGCTGTTGTTGCTGTTGTTGCTGCTGCTGCTGTTGTTGTTGTTGTTGTGGTTGCTGTTGTGGTTGCGTTTGCTGAGGCGGCAGCTGCGGCTGAGCTCCAGGCTGCTGCAGACTTGGCTGGCCTGACTGACCACCAGGTTGTCTCGTATCTGGTTGGGGTTGTGGTTGTTGCGGTACCGTCGGAGGTTGAGGCTGCTGAGGTTGACCACCGCCTTGCGAGGGCTGCTGCTGCACCAGAGCACCACTAGCGGCCGGCGATTGGCTAGCGTCTAGACTTCCGCTGGTCCGGTTTATCACTTCCTGGGCTATGTTTTTCAATGTAGACATCGGGTGAGTGCTTGCTATATGCATTGATACAGCATGATTGGTGGCATTCTTACCGAGTGTTGTTGGACCGTTCAACAGTTGCTGCTGGGGCGGAGACATTAGGCTGGGAGATGCCCTAAAGTGAATTAAATTAAATTAGCGTTAGAGGATTTTTGATCCCATTAAACAAACAAAAAACTGGATTGGTTAGTACCTGCTGCTGACAGCCGAGTTACTAGGAGATACACAATTGTTGATGATATTCGCTCCACTACTGCTAATCGTTGACGCAGATGAGGTCGTCATTATGTGATTATTCTCGATGCCGGAGGACGCTGACGAGAGCGCGCCACCATGTGGTAGTGGTATGGAATTTTGACCCGGAACCTGCTGGGGCAGTTGCTGTTGCTGCGGTTGCTGTTGTTGGGGCGGAGGGGCTGGAGCTGCCACTACAGCCGCCGCATTCGTCAACAGACTGGACGCGAGGTTCGTCTGCTGTTGCTGTTGCGCCTGCTGCAGTTGCTGACTAAGCGTAGGTTGAGATGCATTTACTATCTGACTGAGGTTACTAACGGCCGCACCGGATGCGTTAGGTGCCACTGTTACCGACGACTGACCACTCGAAACCGACGACGCTGTCGACGAAGATGTGACGCTGGACTGATGTATGGAACCGTTTTCTGCAAAAGGATTTGTGAAACGTTACAATCATCGATGAGCTTTTCAATATTTACCTATCTTACTAGGGTGCTGCTTTGCCACGGCTGCAAATGCCGGACCAATAATTGGTTGAACGAGAACACCTGGCGGCATCTGGGGTGCTACGATACCGGTTATATTCGGTACTACCGCTCCCGCCACCACTGCTGCTGCATTCGTGTGATTTTTACTAGGCGTTGAACTTATTAGACCCGGCTTGCTACTGGACGTAAGGGTGGTGCTACTGCTGATACTCACACCAATACTTCCGATAGTGACTGCTAACACGTTCATGTCCACCTTACTTGCCCGAATCGCCATTGGTTTCACCGGCTGAAATAATCGACGGTCAGCAAATGCATGCCTCGACAGCAAATTGGATAACCTACCGTAATCTTCACATCTTTTGGTCGCTTATCGCTACTGCCATCGAGGGCAACGGCGGACACATCGCTACTGTGATTGTGCATCGTGGACGCACTGCAGTTCATCACTGGCGACTGCGACGGGCTGGTTCCGGAGATTAAGCTGCTGGGAGATCCTGCGGTTTCGTTACTGTTATTGCTATCCGGTGCACCTATGCCTGCCAACGGGAGCACTAAAACGTTATACAAGTGAAACTCTACCTTCTCGATGTGACTCTTGAAGGATTTGAAAACGTAAAATCTTACCGGACATTTCCACCTCGTCCAAACCGATGATATCGTCGTAGATGTACTCATTCTCCTCGAAATCGGGTTCCTGCGAAGAGTCGATGTAGTACTCCACGTCTTCTTTGATCTTTTTGATCTGTTCCACCTCCACCCCGTCGTTGTCCAACATTCGGAGTAACGTTTCCAGCTTTGTCACGTGGAACTTGTGCCTCTCCAGCTTGCCCTTCAGCTCGTCCATCTTTTCCTGTTTGTCCTTGTCGAGCTTTTTTTTCTTGCCGGCTATCAGCGATTCCACCTCGCACTCGAACTGGTCGATCTGTATCTGCAGCGAGCTAATCGACGTCGTTAGCCAACTGCTAATCTCCTCCTTTTCGCGCTGCGCCGGATCCATCTTCTGGGCAGCGCCGAGACCCTCCTTGGAGTATGCTTTCGTTTTCGTTTCCCGCTCGACCACCTTGAAGCGCTCCATTTGCTACAATAGAATAGAAGAAAACGATGTCAGAGACTGATCGTCGAAGGGGACGGGATGACGACTCACAGTCTCTATGAGCCGTCGATTCTCCAGCAGCGCACTCTTGTCCTTGATCTCGCCGGATGCGATCCATGATTTGATCTGATCACGTAACCTCTGCAGCTTCTTGATTTCCTTCTTGAGATCGGCTTCATATTTTTCCTACAAAACGGATGGAATGATGGCGCGTCAGCAGGTGGATGAGATGGACAGTAGATAGGAAGCAAACCTACCTTTTGATTACTGTTTGTAGCATTGTGTACCTTCTGCCAGATATCCTCGAACGTTTCTACACCTTCAGTGACTTTCTTGAGACACCGATCGATTTCACCTGTTGGAAGTCGGGGATTAAGAAGAGAAATTGGAAACATCAATCCATGTTCAGGAGCTTTCAAATTGCACATCACTTTCGTAAGACTTTTCATTTATTCGTTGAATGAAATCTCTTTAACTTTTTCGAAGGGACGTATCAGCTTTTGTAAACAATGCATTTGACTAATTTTTGTTCGTTTTGTGTAAGATTTATCGAATTTGACTCGATATTTTTATGTTACAGCCAAAAGTTTCCATACACATGTGTCGTTACTGCTCAATAGATGCCATCACAGAATGTGTTAACTTTCTATCCATGATGTATCGGAATAATTATTGAAAAAAAAGAAGATATAAATCGGCGAGCTATTTGAACGAATCCTAAATTTAGCTAAATAAATACTTAAATACCTGTTTGATCAATGCGCAAATGTTGCAAACAGATTCAATCATCCCAACAGCAAGCAGAGGCAAAAAAATACAACGATCATTTCGAGCGATTTTGCACGATACAAAAACAGTCAAATTTGAACTGATACCACAACGTTGTGAGATTTGAATAAGAAATACAAAGTATAGAGCATGGTTCTCCTATTTTTTGGGTATACAATGTAACAATTAAAAATTAATTTTGATTAACTTTGAAAATCGCCAGCTAGCTTAGAAGAAATACCCCTCTGTGAGGCGTTCAAAGAATAAAGATTGTAGGGACCATCCCTAAAAGACGTAGCACATTTTTGACCAATTTTAGACCCACCCCTCCCCCTTCGTAGCGTGTTTTGCCATACCTAATGCATTTATTTATTTATTTACATCAACAGGTTTAGTGTAGCCTAGAGAGGGTCTACTATAAGAGAGGAGCGGACTGGTTGGTTTTGAGCCGAACGAACTGTCAATGCCACACGCAGAAAAATGGATTTTTGTTTCAGGGCCTAATGTATTTTGTTATTGATTCAAACATATTGTATCACTATTTCAACAAAAAATATTTTTGAATCAACAAAATGGTTTTTAGAATCAACAAACAGAATATTGACTCTACAACCGGTTTGTTGATTCAAAAATATTTTTATTTGAATTACCGAATAATATATTTGGATCAACACCACAAATATATTAGGCTCTGAGCCAAAAATATATCCATTTGAATTTAAAAATCATTTCTCTGCGTGCAGAGCCAATCGAGCAGCGCCTATCTTGATTGCATTGCCAGTGTTGCTAACAATCACCTAGGCATAGTTTGCCAAGGTAGTTTGTTTTGAAACCGCTTCTCTTTTACACTAGACACATCTCTAGTTCAGACTAAAGAGTTATGAGGGTGTTACTGGGGGTGAGACAGCTTTCGATCAATCGGAATTAATTTTGAGTAACTCTAATAGCGAATTCGTTTATTATTCAGTTCCAACCTGGATCGGGTATCAAGATTGGGTCTGCTTGTTTTCTGACAAACGTCAGTTTGTTCGTTTGTTTTTAAAACCTAGCTCAGGTTGAGGTTCGCACTGACAAAAAGTTCGGTTTCGCACTGGGTTGGAACTGGTTCCAACCCCGATAATAAACGAATTCGCTATAAGTAACTTGCGTTGCTCAATATCTTATTCACATAGCAACCTGATTGTTATATTGAAACCAATGTTGATACCGATGCTGTCAAGCAAAGTAAGTTGACGTGCTTTCCAGTTTTCAATGATGAACCTCGATGTAAGTATCAAAATAAGAGAAGAGGTGACAATACGGGGGCGAAAATGAGCCACTTTTCTGTCAAACGTGAACCAGCTCCTGATTGACCGATTTCATGTGCGTACAGGGCTGGTAGCAGGTCACTTTTTAGTGACTTGGTCACTATTTTCAAGCCAGTCACTAAAAAGTCACTTTTTTCATCAAAAGGTCACTAAAGTCACTATTCCTTAAAATTTAGTCACTAAAGTCGCTTTCTTACTACCATGTTGAGAGTAAAAACAAATTTTAAAAACTTACATCAAATCATAGATTTATTTGGTAACAAATGCGTGTTAGAAAGATTATTTGTTTGATCTCGAATTGGTTTTAGACCTATCACAAATTGTCAGAGGTTCCGAAAAAATTCTAGACCCAGTAGTCTGGCTATTTTCCTTCGAAATCTTGCATGTTTTCCAAGCCTAAAATGTCAAAAAGTAGTCTAGGAAAGTGCTCTCGACATTTTTTCAAAGGTCAGAATTTGAATAATCTCTGACACCCGGTAGCTTTAGCATTTGTCCAAACACCGAAAATATCATGTCACAGAATCAGGAGTTCCTTTTTAAGTCCATTAAATTGTATTGCATTTTTTTCGTACGAATAATCCGGAACTACGAAAACAAATTGCCAGGTCCAGGTTTTAGAAAAACAAAATATGTCCATGGCAATAACATATTATTTTATATGTTTCAGAAGCATTTAAATTGTTCAAGGACACTTATGTAAAAAAATTGGAAAATTATGTCAGGCATTGCAATTTTCTCAATTCGGTGATCTCGAATTTTGAAGCCAAAAAAAATGTCCAAAACCAAGGGATAGGTCACTACGCACACCAATCTTGGGTCATCTTATTTGTCAGTGTACCACAGGTGTGCCGATTGTGCCGGTCATAGAGCAAGCTGCGATTGTTTGTAAAATACCCATCCCGGCAACCGGGTATTTCTGACACCTTGAATGTTTTGGTTTAAAATCGCAGGGATAAATCGGATTGAGGATGACGCGGGAAGTGGCGGGTGTGCGAAATTATGATGTTTTGTGTTCATAGGACAATAAAAATCCTGTGTTTTAGGGTTTTATAATGCCCTCAAAGGCAGATCAGAAACCTAGCCTTTCGTGATGTGAAAAGCAACGGTCTATTAGCGGCCGGAAAGATTTGGAACCGGTTGGGAACATAATTCAAGATCGACTATAGATGATGATGAATAGACTTCTGTAGTTTGTTTGGTGTGAGTTGCAGCATTATTCGAATTAAGGGTATTAATAAGGTCTGATCAACTGCCTCTGTCTTTTGAGCCCACTCTAGAACCTACATTTCGTATTTAGATCTATAAGTTAACTGCTCGTCTGAGTTCCTCTGGTATATTCAATTAGAGGATGTTACTGAATATACAGTCAAACAGCACGTAATGACAGTTGTCCAGTAGTGCTCCCATTTTATTTAAAATGTACCAATACTTACGAAATTGTGCCGAAGATGTGCCGATGGATGTGTCCAAGTTGTGCCGAATTTAATTTCGGCATAATGTGTTGAGTGACTTACCCTTTGTCCAAAACTCTAAAATGCATCCCTAAATCCCTATTTTTTCACGATCGAGATTTTTAGTCCTAGACGCATTCAAATGTTGCTTTATGACCGTGATCTTTCCATCTGGGATAATTTCCTTCGTTCCATACAAATGAGATGTTTTTGCGATCTAGAAAAGTTGTCTAGGTCCAAGTCTAGGTCCCACAGTTATGAATTTATTTCTATGTGTTACAGAAGTTTCTCTTCTTGGAAGGAATAGAGACGACCAATGCGCTATAGCGGCTACAAAGAGGAGAACGATTTTTTTAATTAAAATACTAATCGCTAATCGCATCGCTTATTCTATATTCTAGATATTTAAAATTGACTGTCCTAAAATTGTCAAAATCTGTCTAAATCTTTGAATTTGAACAATTTTGTCTGTGCCTCAATTTTGTGATCTAATCATCAAAGTGTGATTTGGATCTAATATCAACTTAGTAGATAGTTTGTTTGAAAAAATAGCTTATTACATTCATACTTATTTTTTGAGGACAATGGGATCCTTAAATTGTTTGTTTTATTTTTTTAGAAACATGAAAAATGCGCATGATGGGTTTGTGGGTTTATAAAATTTCTCGAACTGGCAATCGCAATCAACGGAAGATTGAAACCATATCTTTCCAATTAATAAATGTCACTATTGGTCACTTTTTTATTGTTTAAAAGTCACTATTTGGTCACTATTTTCGTTATTTTAGTCACTAAAGTCACTACTATTCAATCACATACTCACTACCAGCCCTGTGTGCGTAAGATAGAGATAGAGATAGAAATAAAAGAGGAAGAAGCCAATTGTCACCTCTTCCTCTTAGGCATAAAATAAAAAAGGAAACTTATAATCTATAATCTATAATCTTTCCGAGATATAACTTTCGACTGTATGGGTGTTGCATGCAAGCCAGTTGGTAGAAACAGAATGTGTGTAATAATACCCCGTACAGACTATGGCTTACATCATGTAATATAAGCTGTCTTGCAATGAGCACTCATACATCTAGTTTTCACTGGAAATCCTATGTATGAGTGCTCATTGCAAGACAACCTATATTACATGACATAAGCCATACTCTGTACGTCAATCAATACGAAACTAACGATTTTAAATTGGCTCACTACTTGACTAGCCTATTGGTCCCAAGCAAATCGATTAACACACCCCATTCTAGTCAAAAGTCTAGTACTACACTATGTTTGTTTTGATTCGCTAAGTTTGACAGATAAAATGAGTACCAGAGCTGAGCCAAAAAGTTGAGCTCGTTTTTTCGGGACCTTCTGGTCTTAGAGTTACCTCTATGGTATAACAGTTGATATGGAAAAAAAGGACAATATCCTGGGTGGTAGAATCTTAAAAAGTGGCGGCAAACTCCCAATCCATGAAGTGGAATGAGGAGAAGAGGAATGGCGTAGATGGCTTGAAAAACCTAGGTAAGCCACCATCGCCTCATACTGTATGAAACTAATATTCTGCCCGACAACGACTCTGCAGCTTGAAACTCTGCGAACTGTGTCTCAGAGTCGGCGCACTACCGGGAAAACTGGAGGAGCTTCGCGTACTCAAGCTTTCAAATTAATTAACCACTTCATTCGAGCAGTTAAAATGACGTTTACTACCACTCGAACTTTGAAATAAAACATTATTTTGAAATTTTTTTCTTCTAGAACCACGAGAAAAGTAGCCAACATTTCAGGCATAACATTTGATAACGGCACAAGAGCATTTGTAAACAAACTTTCTAAGG